CCTCTCCCCTAGGGTTCTCCCCCCCGGCCCGGCCTCCTCCTGCTCCCTGCCGCCGTGAGTATCGCTTTTTTTGGAGGTGAAATATCTTTAAAGCCTCCACCCGACGTGGATATCCGGAGAAGTCGCTCTCTCTCGGCTCTGTCCGTGTGGCGCGTGGGAGCGTAGGCCCTCGGGCCTGAGACGTATGGTCCCTTTCCACGACGTTGGAGAACAAGCCGGGCCTCGAGCCTGCAGCCTGCATATTCCTACTGCTTCTCCGAGCCCTCGGGCTGTGACGGAGGAGATAAACCATGCAGGAAACAGCTCTGCCTCGGGAGGCTGCGGGAAAGGGGGGGGAGGCACGTGGGTGGCTGGGGAGCGAGGAAGGGAGAAGGAGAAACGGTAAAAGAGAAACCAGACAATTACTTAAAATACTTTTTCTTTACTATTTCCAGCCCTAAACCTGAAAATCGAAGTGAATGAAGCACTGATGTGGAAGGTAAGTAATATTGCTTTAATACTGTAGCTTCGTCTGCGTAGTTAAACGATTCTTATAATTATTTATACCTTATTTAAACCCGTTTCTGAGCAGCTTAAGGAAATGGGGTTGAATCGGCTTTAAGGAATTAAATGCAGACTTTTTAAAAGTAAAAACGTGGTCTGGTGGGAGGTGTCCCTGCCCATCCCGGGGGGAATAGGTGATCTTCACTGTCCCAACCCAAACCATTCTGTGATTTTAAGTGAAATCTTAAAGCATTTCCTGCCTTTAAAGATTTTGTTGGACTCATCCTGGAATGTTTGGTTAGCTTGAGGATTTACTTGTGTAAGATGGGAACTGAGGAAAGAACAGAAACACACAGTGAAAAGTCATCAAGGTTCTGCCTTGAGCCCCAGTAATCACCCAGTTTTCATGTTAGTTGGCCCTGGAGCAGATTTTTTTTACTCCTTGTGGAGAATGTGTAATAAACGTGTATGGTTGGAGCAGTGGGATGAGCACGTGTTGTTCCTTAGGATTGGGAATGTGCTTGGATGTTACCTGATCATCCTGTAGTGAAGGAGTTAAATGCTTCTTGCCAAATAACCTTATTTTATTCCAAATTGTTTGCAGGCACTGATGGCTGAGATAATGAAAGCATAAATTTCACGTGTCTAGTGGGAGGGGGTGAGTATATTGAGAGCACCAGCCCCGAGTGATAAATAAAGCTCATGGGTAAAGGTCAAAATGTGTCATCAAGTGACCAGGAGGGGCTGGAGGCTGCAGATGCCTGTTTGGTGGCCCATGCTTTATGCCGGGGACTGTGTGAGAAGACCAGGCAGGTGTGTGCCTGGGAAGTTAAAACAGCTGCTGGATTTTGGGATATAGAAACCTAGGGAGTAGGGAGGGGGTAAGAAAAAAAGAGCCACGTGCTCTCTAGGTTCAGAGTTCCTGGCCTGTGGACCAACAACCTCACTCGCCCTCCTGGGGGCCAGCTCCTCCTTGCCAGCTCCTGGGGAAGGCAGGGTTGGACCTGATGCAGCTTGAGCCTGGCAAGGGAATTCCAGGGAAAATAAATACTGGGTGGGTGATGGGATGTGGGGGCAGGAGCAGTGAGTTGGGAATCCGTGTTACTGAAATGAGGCCTTGGAATGTTGTAAACCTGTGGTAGAGAATGAAATAAAACTGTTGTTTGGTGTGTATTTTGTTGTGATTGTTTGTCCTGGAATGGGGGGGGAAAAAAAGCTGTCGCTGTTGTTGCCCATGACTTGGTGCCAGCGTGGTTGTTGGGGCTGGGTTCGGAGTGGGGGAGTCCTTGTGGATTTTTGGATCATCTCGTGGTTAATGGCTGAACTGGTGATGGTTAATGGCTACGTGGGGTGGGGGGAGGGGGTGGCAAGTCCCAGTTAAATGAAGGGGCCTACAGGAAAGTGGGGGAGGGGCTTGGGACAAGGGCAGGGAGGGAGAGGACAAGGGGGGATGGATTAAAAGTGGGAGAGGGGAGATTGAGGTTGGAGATGAGGAGGAAATTGTTGGGTGTGAGGGTGGTGAGAGCCTGGCCCAGGGTGCCCAGGGAAGCTGTGGCTGCCCCATCCCTGGCAGTGTTGAAGGGCAGGTTGGATGGGGCTTGGAGCAGCCTGGGCTGGTGGGAGGTGTCCCTGCCCATGCAGGGGGTTGGGACTGGATGAGCTTTAAGGTCCCTTCCAAACCAGCCTGGGGTTCTATGATCCACAAAAGGGGAGAAATCCTGCCCAGATGGAAGGTACAAGTGTGGATCATCCACTGCTGCTCCAGCAGTTGGCTGGATGTCCTTAAAATCAAGAGGGAAATTGTCAGGGGGTGAGTTCCCTTCCTCACCAGAGCTCCAGCACATACCTGCGATCATTCCTAGATGTGCTGGGGTTGCATTTATGCAGGATCTGCTGGAATGAGGCTGGTCCAGAACATCCTGAGGGGTTGGTTTCCATGGAAATGGGTGGAACTAATCCATGGAGTAGGGGCTGTCCTGGGTCAGGGGGACAGGGCTGGTGTCTTCTGGGCCCCAAGGGTCACGGTGCCAATAACTCATTCCTCAGGACTGGACCGAGCCAGGGACTGACGAGGTGGTTCCGGAGCTTGATGAGGAACATTAATTAGCCCAGCCGGGTTGGTGGCTCAGTCTGTGCCTTCTGACAAGAGCCTCTTCTTGAGCTACTGGGCGGAAAATACCAACGCATTCAACTTATTTTACACCCGGGCCGCTCCGCCGTGCCGGCTGGTGAGGCGAAGCCCCTTCATTTCTGTGCGATTAACAGGAAATGAACGGATAATTGAATAATTTTAGAGCATTTCTAGAGATGTTTTGTCACTGCCCCCCCTCCCAAAGTGGCGCAGCCTCC